GGCCATTTTGGAAAACAGCCTGGCAGTTCCTTACATGCTAAATACAGAGTTAACGTATGACCCAGCAATTCTAATCGTAGGTATATACCCACGAGAATTGAAAACAATGTCTGTACAAAAACTCATACTTGAATATCAGCAGCATTATTCATAATGGCCAAAAAGTGGAAATAACCCAAATGTCCATCAACTGATGGATACGTACAATGTGGTATGTCCATACAATGGAATATTATTTGGGAATAAAAAGAAATAAAGCACTGATGCATTCAGTGAGCTGTGACCACAGGGGTGAACCTTAAAAACATTATGCCAAGTGAAAGAAACCAAACATAGAAGACCACATATTGTATGATTCCATATACGAAATATCAGAAGACAAACCTATTAAGACAGAAAATGGCTAAGTGGTTGACACCAGCTGGGACATGAGGAGGAAATGGGGAATGACAGCTAATGAGGACAGGATTCCTTACTGGGGTTGTGAAAACGTCCTAAAATTGATTATAGTGATATTTGCATAATTCTGTGATTATACTAAAAACCATCGCATTGTACACCTTAAAATATTATTAAAAAGCAAACCACTCCATATGCAAACTCATGGAGACAATGTGTGTAAACCACCGTGGGGCTCAGTGTCAGCCACAGGGGAAAAGCTGGTAAATGTTACCTCTAGGTACCACGTGGAAGAGGGGGGCTCTTCAACCTGGAGAAGAGATGGCACTAGGGGTGGGGGGAGGAGATGTGCTGGCCTTCTCCACATAGTTGAAGGGCTCTGTGGGGGTGGGGTGAGTTGTCCCTGTGGCCTTAAAAAGTGTAGAAAAAGAAACAAAAGGAGAAACTTCAGAGGAGCAGATTTCATCTCAATAGAAATTGAGGATTGCTTCTTGGAATGGGTTGCCCAGTGAGGTAGTGAGCACCCCGTCATTAGAAGTCTTCAAACAGATACAACTACGTGTTGGGATGGTACAGAAAGGACTCCAGTGTTAGGGGAACATCTGAGGTAGAGGTCAGTGTTAAAATTCCAGTGTGTGTGCTGCAGCTGATAGGTTCACAAAAGCCTATTGTTCAGTATTTAGGAACTTTAAGCTAATTGTTAAGCCATTGATAGCTTGTTATCAGCAACGGTGGGAGTACTTACAATGGCAATCAGCATTCACTACATATCAGGACTGTTTTTTGTCCTAGACCAGTGCTTACTAGCACATCACTGATCCAGACCAACTGCTCCAACAGGTCTTTCGGTATGCTTGTTACTCAACAGAACTTGGGTCCGCTCGCCCACAGGCAGCAAAGCCAGTCTACTGACACCAGGTTGTAGTGAAGGAAAGTACAGCGTTTACTAGGTGTCAAGCAAAGAGAATGGGCAGCTCATGCTCAAAAGAGAGACCCGAACTCCCCAATGGCTTTCAGGGAAGGGTTTTTTGTTTTAGTTTTTGTTTTAATTAATTTATTTATTTTTGTCTGCCTTGGGTGTTAGTTGCTGTGCATGGGCTTTCTCTAGTTGCAGCGAGCAGGGGCTACTCTTCGCTGCGGTGCACAGGCTTCTTATTGCGGTGGCTTCTCTTGTTGCAGAGCACGGGCTCTAGGCACGCGGGCTTCAGTAGTTGTGGCACGCAGGCTCAGTAGTTGTGGCTCGCGTGCTCTAGAGCGCAGGCTCAGTAGTTGTGGCACACAGGCTTTGTTGCTCCGCGGCATGTGGGATCTTCCCGGACCAGGCCTGGAACCTGTGTCCCCTGGATTGGCAGGTGGATTCTTAACCACTGCACCACCAGGGAAGCCCAGGGAAGGGTTTTTAAAGGCAACATTTGGGGTGAGGGTTGCAGCTCAGGGATCTTCTGATTCGTTGGTGGTGAGGCATCAGGGTGGTGTTTTGGGAATCTTAAGCATCAACCTGGTTCCAGCCAGTCTGGGGTCTACTGCTTATTATGGTCAGCATGTAGTCACCATCCTCCACCTGGATGGCTTGTCTTAGTTTCTGCAGAACGATTGTTATGTATATCCCTTGAGGAGGAAATAGGACTCTCTTTGTTTAAGCTGTCTTTACTTTTCTTGATTGACTACTTTCCCTTTGTTTCTTCACTCTTTCACTTCCCTAATTAGTAACTGCTTGAATCTGCTCTTTGGACCTCAAGGAAGGACTAGGAGACCAAAGCGTTTTTCTACAAACAAGAAACAGGGGACAAGGAGGGGCTTTTGTATCCAGGAAGGCCCCAAAGTGCCCTACTCAGTTTTAATTTCCACTTTTCTTTGATACACCTCAATCTTGAGGGGAACAGGGGCGGGACAAGAAAGGGAATAAAGTTTTGGATTGAGAGGTTAATCATAAACTTGGCAGGGGAGCTCAGTTCCAGGGGGGCTCACCCACCCCTAAAGTTCCCAGATCCCTTCTCCTTTACCAGCGGGAACCCCTTCCCTGCTCTGCCCCAGGGTCTGATGAGCCTTGACTTCCCCCACGAACTGTCTTGAGCTCTCCATCTCATCTAGGAGTTACCACTTAAGTGTCCGCTGTGTCTGGGTTCTTCCTTATGCTGTCCCATTTGACCCTCACACAACCTTTGAGGCAAGTGGTGTAGATGAAAGAGTTAATCAGTAGTTGATCTGGAAAGAAATGGAAAATTTTGTTTGAGCCAACCTGAGCATTATAACCCAGGAGACAGTCTTTCAGAAAGCTCTGAAAACTGTTCCACCCTTTAGAGGTCAAAACACAGGTATATAAGTTTTTGAGACAAAGGGCCATACTCAAATGACATATAATTGACAGTTTACACAATCCAGAGCTACATTACAAAGCACGCAGTGGGTCATGGGTCGTCGTGGCCCCTTACAAGATTAAGAAGGAATGTTATCTCCTAAGGAGTTCTGGTTAATGCAGATGCACAGCACACACTAAAGAGGCGGGAGGAGGCCCAAACCGGCAAAGAAAACTTTTATGTTTAAATTTTCTCGTCTTGCCATAAAATATGAATTTTATTTTCTCAGTGGCATAGTCTTCCTGTTTACAGTGGGGGACACTGAGCCCAGGAGGGGTGTTTGTTCATCATATCAGAGCCTCCGGAGGAGGCGGCTCCCAGCCCCAGATGCCTGCCACCCATGCTGGACTGTTCCTGTTGGCAACTTCACCTGTAGTTGGAACTCCAAGCTGTTACTCCCTCTGGCATCAGCTGCTGCTCTTTGGCCCAAGTCTTGTGCTGCCACAGTGCAGAGAAACAGCTCCAGTGACCTTCTCTGGCTTCTGCTCTGGTGACCTTGTGGCAGCTGTCAGAGGATTTTCCTAAAAGTCCCCTGGGGCCTGATTCTTTGAATGGACTCATCTTGATGACCTTTCAACACAGGCCCTCAAGGCTCCAGAACTGACTTAAAAATGCCAAGAAAAAATAGCGGGAGTGAATCCCAGGGAAATTGCCCTGGCGGAAAGAACAGGCTTAGGTGTTCGGAGACCCCCCTGCTGTATATCGCCTCGGCTTGTGACATGCTTTGGGACCTTGGGAGAAGGTGTGTGCATGTGGGGTTTTTGTTTTGCTTTTTAATTAAATATTTCAAAGGTAGCGAAATCTAGAGGAAAAACATAGCAACGTCCTGATCGCCCATAATTCAGCTTTGTTAAATCCTACCCTTTTGTCACATTTGCTTCAGATGTTTTAAAAGCAAACAAATCATTGCAGAACTGGCTGAAGCCTCCTTCACACAGTTCCCTGATCCCATTTTCTTCCAGCCCCTCCGAGGTCACCATTATCCTGAATTTGGTGTGCATGTGTATCCACAGACAAGACACAGAACTGTTGTGTACGTTTTTACACTTTATAGAAATATTTTCATTCCTTCTGTAATTTGCTTTCTTCACTCAACATTGGGGATTTGGTTTGTTTGACTTTAAAAACTCGTTAACTTTTTTCTTTTGAAATAATTTCAGACTCCCAGAAAAGTTACAGGGTTAGTACAGTGAATTCCTGTAGTACAGTCTTCATTCAAATTTACCAGTTATCAACATTTTGTCACGTCTGCTGGTTCTCCCTGTCTCCTTCATTTTTTTTTTGAACCTCGTGACGGTAATTTGCAGACATTGTGCCTCTTTACACCCATATATTTCAGTGGGTATTTCCCAAACATGGACATTCTCTTACCTAACCTCAGCACAAGAATCAAGATCAGGGAATTAATATTCACGCAGTTGACAGGATTTTGAGATTTAACCGTGTAGCGATTGGTTCCTACCTTTCAGCAGCTGTGCAATAGTCCAGGGTGGACTAATCACAACTTATTTATTGTTCTCTCATGGACGGACTTTGGTTGTCCCCATTTTCTCTCACTATAAATGCTTCCATTATCAATCATCTCCTTACACCGTGTGCGTCCTGGGAGTGGGGCTGCTGGGGCCTGGGCTACGGCACCTCCGTCTCTTAGATTTCGGAAATCATTTTCAGAGCAGGTGCAACTGTCTTCATTCTCATGGAGTGCTGTACCCTGTTCATGCTCTAGTAGCATTTAGGGGCTGAGCAATGGGCTCTCGCCTATCTTAGGCCTTTTTTCTCATGTTGCTGGTGTTCGTAAGAGAAACAGGGCATGACCATGTGCGTGGTTACCCCAGGTAGAATAATGACCTATTTGAGGTGTTCTCATGTACCAGACGATGCTTGATGCGTGTTACATGTGGCAGGTATTACCAGCTCCATTACACAGATGAGAAAACTGAGGCCCGTAGAGGTTAAATACCTTGTCCTAGGTCCCACGGCCAGATATGGCAGGGATTGGGACTGAGGCTGTGTGAGTCCTAGTTCCTCATCTTCAGGCTATGCAGAGTGTGTGAAATGACCACCGCCTCTCTGATTGTGAGATTGTCGTGAGAGGGGTCCACTGAGAGGCTGCTGCCTCTTCCTGCAACATCCCACCTCCCCCCCACACCCCTACACACCTGTCCCTGTCATCTGGTCCCTTCCTCTCTCTACAGAGGGAGTCGTTACATTTAAGAGCAGTCAGCATGGAAGAGAAGGGAGAGGATGGGGGTGGGGGACAGCAATGAGCGACTGTCCTCCCTCACCCTGGGAGTGTCAAGGCACGGCTGGTTCTCTGGGCCTCCAAGGTCAGAGACAGAGAAAACTCCCCTCTGGGGCTTCTGGACAGTCCAGCCCCAGCTCGGGAAGTCGGCGCCATTTCAAAAGGAGGAAGGCTTTGGGCTTTTGGAAGCTCACGGTGGGCACAGGAGCCCCACCAGGCAATTCAGTTACAGCTCTTAGAGGTTTACTCTTTATCACTCCAGAGATAATCATCAAGCACGGTGTGTGCCCTCTCATCTCATTTACGCCCAAGAGAAACCCTCTCCGCGGGTTTTACTTACTCCCCGTTTTACAGAAGAGGAAACTGGAGTCAGCGTGGTTATATACGCAATTAAGCCCCTTAGCGAGTCAGTGCAGAGCTGGGATAACACGCTGGCTCGGGAGGCCCCAAAGCCACCAGGTCTCCACCCTGCATGCATTTTTGTGACAAACAGATGTATTTTCACATATTTATTTAAAATGAGTTTTAATCCTATAAGTAATGCATAATTAACATACAAATTTGAAACAACTCCCCTGCACTTCTCAGAAATAACTGTCCTTAATGATGTCTCACAGAGCCTTCAGGAAATTATTTTTGTGTATAGTTATATTTCTGTGTCTCAGTGTGTGTTTGTATATATTCCAAATTGGATAAAAAACATTAATGAACGCTCTTTCTTTGCCAGGTACTACAAGGATACATATACATGGGAAATTTTTAAAATTTCTTCAAGAACTAGAATAGTGTAGAGGTTATAAACACAGACTCTGGATCCAGATTGTCTGGGTTTGAACGCCAGCTCTGCCACTTATAAGCTGTGTGACCGTGGATGAGCTATTTAGTCTCTCTGTGCCTCAGTATCCTCGTCTTTATTATTTTATTTTATTTATTTATTTATTTTTGGCTGCACTGGGTCTTCGTTGCTGTGCGCGGGCTTTCTCTAGTTGCGGAGAGCGGGGGCTACTCTTCGTTGCAGTGCGTGGGCTTCTCATTGCGGTGGCTTCTCTTGTTGCGGAGCAGGGACTCTAGAGCACAGGCTCAGTAGTTGTGACACACGGGCTTAGTTGCTCCGCGGCATGTGGGATCTTCCCAGACCAGGGCTCGAACCCGCGTCCCCTGCATTGGCAAGAGGATTCTAAACTACTGCGCCACCAGGAAAGCCCTGTCCTCGTCTTTACATGGGACTATCAGGTATAGGGTAGGTAGTTCAGAAGTTCAAGATCAAGCTGTCAGCAGAGCTGGTTCCATCTGGAGGTTCAGAGAGAGAATATGTTCCATGCCTCTCTCCTAGCCTCTGGTGGTGACCATCAATCCTTGGTGTTCAAAACTCATAACTCCACTCTCTTCCTCTGCCTTCACATGGCTTTCTTGTATCTCTGTGTCTTTTTTTTTTTTTTTTTTTTTTTTGGCCACGCCACGTGGATTGTGACATCTTAGTTCCCTGACCAGGGATCGAACCCGTGCCCCCTGCAGTGGAAGCACGGAGCCCTAACCACTGGACCTCCAGGGAATTCCTCTGTCTCTCATTGAATTTAGGGCCCATTCTAAATCCAGAATGATGTCATCTGTAACTTAACTGTATCTACAAAGAGCCTTTTTCCGAAGGAGGTCACATTCACAGGTGCCAGGTGTTAGGATTTGGGCATATCTCTTTGGGGGACACAGTGCAGCCCACTCCAGTAGGTGTGAGGATGACTGTGTGCTGTGGGCTACCTATGGATGAAGAGGCACATTGCTGCCCTGATTGGCATTACCAGGGCCCCTCCTACCCTGGCCCTCCGTGTCATTTGTATACTCATGCACCTTGCACAGAGTGATCGGGCCGTCCCATAACATTGATTGCTGGGACCAGGTCTCTTTATCTCAATACAGCCAATTGGCCTTGAAGCTGGGGTGAGGCCTGCCTGAGGGCAGGATCGTGGGTGGGATGGAGACGGCTTTTTCCTGGTCCTCCTCTTCCATCCCACACTCCCCCCAAGTTCCGGCCAAGTGTGCACAAGGGGGCCTCAGTTCTCCTTACAATGAGGCTTCATTGGAACTTTCTGAGCTCCTTCCCTGGGACCCACACAGGCAGCCCGAAGCTCGCGCCCTCATGAGCTGGGGGCGGGGCCTTCTTCCATACAGGCGGCATCCAGCCAGGATGCTGCAGCCCGAGCTGACCCCACACCGCCTGGGTGGCCCCCTCGGGTGGCCTCTCCACCCCAGAGCAGAGCTCTCCTCTCTGCCTCACCCAGGTTTCATAGGCCGGTGACCGGATGCAGCACCATGCCAGGTCACTCCTTCCCTTGGGAGCTAAGGCCAGGATGCTGAGCCCAGCCCTCTTGTCCCTGTGGCCCAGGGCAAGGGTTTCCCTGGTGTCTGACCACACTGCATCCGGGTGGGGCAGCACGGACAACCCGCCCCTTGAGTCGGAGGGCTGTTAGGACTGCTGATTAGAGCTAATTGCTCCACTTCCCGTGAGCAAGCAGAAGGAGACGAGTCATGGAATGGTTTGTCTTTCCGGTGGAATTGCTCTAAAGCTTCTAGGCTCATTATTTCGCGCTAACAGTGCCATTAATTACCCGGGGCCCCCAGCTGGATCTTGGCTGGTGAGAGGGCGGGCATGGGAGCTGGGGTGGCCGACCGTGCCAGCAGATGACATATCCAATGTGGGCTCAGTGATGGTCCCTGGCAGTTAGAGCTGGTGTGGCCAAGCTCTTGAATCACAGTAATCATGGCAGGGAAGCAGCCTGCCCCGGGTGCCGGCTCGGGGCGTTCACATCTCTGCCATCCTGCTCGAGCCCGACAGTCCAGCCTGGAGCCCCAGCATCAGCACCAGCATTTAATGGTCGCACCTGTGACCTGGCGCAAGGCCCAAACCTCCCCTAGCCTCAGCTGCTCCTTCTGTAACGTCTAGACCTTGCTGCGGCCTTTGACACTTACGGCTTCCCCTCTAAGCCTCAGGTCCTGCCAGGTCACCACTGAGGGGGCCCTGAGCAAGCCCTTGTAACTTCTGCCCTGGCCCACCCAGAGGGAAAGGAGAACACTGAAAGACTTGGGCAGTTCCTGGAAAGCAATATCTTAAGAGCCTTTGGCCTCTTGAGTGGTTTAGTCTGAGAAACAGACAGATACAGAAACTGAGACCCTAAGAGGGAACAGACTTACCCATGGACTTAACTAAGCTACCTAAGCCTAGTTAGTGGCAGAGAGAGAGCCAACTGCTGTCACTCCAGCTGCCGTTAGAGTCCTAACTGGCCTCTGGGGGAAGCCCTGGGCCAAGTGAGAAGGTTTTAGGATGATTATAAAGCCTTTTTGGTGCCAGAGGATGTTTTGTGTTTCCAAGGGAGGTTGGAAAAACCTAACAGACCCCGAATGCTTATTTCTGGGTAATTCTGGCCTCCACTGTTTTCACTGCTTTCCCAGAGGAGATGCTGGACCGCATTTCAGGGCTTGGGAAGAGGTCACATCCGTATGAGCTGGGCCGCCCTGGCCTTGAGCTCCAAATGAGATCCAATTCCACGGCCTGTGGACACCCATGGGGCTGCCCTGCTGCCCCTTCCAGACCCATGACTCCTGCAGCTGCCTGGGACACTCCTGTCAGCCTGGTGACGTAGCACACTCTTCTGTGTGGACCCAGAGGGGAAACCCGTAGGAACCCACGGCACACAGCATCCAGGGAGGGAGGGCTCCTCGGAAGGTTTAGAGTGGAGGCGTCAGAGGAGGGAATTTTTAGCACGCTGACATTGCCGGGTCTCTCATCACCACACACCTTTCTAGTCTGGTCTCTGCAGAACCCAACACCGCTAGACCTGTTTAATCCCACACTTCCCAGTCTCCCCACCACCCAGAGAACCACCAGGACCCTCGCCCTCCCCTTGAGGAAATGCTCATCCCCTCGTCAGGACTCCTGGCTCCCGCTGCCCTCTGACCTCAGCAAATGATTCCACTTTTCTGTGCCTCTAACAGGGCTCATCCTGGCCTCCTCCCACCCCACCCCCCGGCAGCTCCTTAAGAGCCAGCTTTATCTCTGGTGCCCGTGGGCAGCATCAAGGGACATGGAGCAAAGGAGAGGTACCAGCCACATCTTCCTGGCTTTATAACTAGCCCCTTCTGTCTGATTAAGGCTTTCACCCCTGCAGATATCCTGAGATTTTGTTCCTCAGGTAGAAGGCAAACAGACCACACAGCCCACCCGACTCAGGATTTGAGGCACCAAGATGCTGTTCCTCCTTTTCTGGACTCAAAACTCACGTGCCAGTGTGTAGGGGGTCGGGTGGGCGGGGCGTGCTGGGAACGATCTGGAGCCTGTACTTGGTCTTTGCCATTTCTCAGGCCTGTGATTCTCCTTTCCCCGGGGACCCTGACGTTTTACATCCTCAGCTTGGGGGTCAGGGAGTGTCGACTGGGAGGGGCACAAGAAAGCCTTCTGGAAATGTCTGTATCAGCATATCTAATAGAAATATAATGCAAGCCGCATATTTGGCTTTAAATTTTCTAGTAGCCACACCGAAAGTAAAACGAAATAGGTGAAATTAATTTTAATGATGTTTTACTTATCTCAGTATATCCGAAAATTACCCTTTCAATATACAATCAATGTAAAATATTCTTAATGAACTATTTTGTGGTCTTATTTTTTTTTTCATACCAAGTCTTTGAGATCCTGTGTGTATTTTATACTTACAGCGTGTCTCAGTTCAGACAACTCACTTTTAAGAGCTGATGTGGCTAGTGGCTATGGTATTGGGTAACACAGCTCTCTCTCTTGGTCTGGGTGGTAGTTACACGGGTGTAGACATACGTAGAACTTTGTCTACCTGTGTACTAAAGACTAGTGCATTTCACTGTGTATAAATTACACTTCAATTAAAAAGTGTTTTAAAAATCCTCTTTAGGGCTCTGCTCCAATGCCATTGTTTTCCTGGACCCACCCTGGCTTGGAATTAGCTACCTCCGTTGCACTGTGCTCCTGTTATATTTATTCCAATCTTGTGCTACAGCTGGTTTTTTCTGTGTACGTCTCACTCATTTTATTATAAGCGCCTTAAGGCAAAGATCACGGTTTGTTCATCTTTTAATTCCCCAAAGGGCCCCTGGCTACGTAGATGCTGAATAAATAAGCATGGTTGAAGTGAATGCCCGTTTGTTGTAAACCCCTCTCTGGGCTTGGCGGCAGGACGGGCTGGTCATTTGATTCTGTTCTCAGTCCTATTCCAGATGTTGGCAAAGGAAAGGGACAGGACGAGGAGGAGGAAGATGGCGTGGGGCCTTGTCTGCCAGTCACTCCGAAGAACTGCCTTCCTCTCCGGGGCATCAGCGTCCTGGAGAAGCTCGTCAAGACCTGCCCGGTGTGGCTGCATCTGGGTCTGGGCCAGGCAGAGGCGACCAGGATCCTGCACCGGGAGGCAGCCGGGGTGAGTCGGGATCTCTCCACCTCATGGCCAGTAGGCGGGCACGGCTGTCAGGAACTGCCCGGGCTGCCACGAAAGTAGCTGCCCTCTGGGCAGCTGCCCATTTGCTCTCTTTTCTTAGGTTTTATCAGCTTTTCGACCAGAACTCAGGAGCAAGGGACTGGTGGGAGATGTGGTTTCTGCTCTGGGGAGCAGGTGTCCCACTGGGGATGTACGGCTGGCGGGGGCTCTCTGGGCGTATGGGTGCCCGCGGCAGGACTGGCACTTTGAGAACTCAGCCGGGCATCCAGGGACTAGACAGTATCCGAGCCGGAGGAAGCTGAGAAATCATTTTACACCCCCTTACTTTACATGTGACTATGAGGGGCTGTGTGATGGAATCGAAAGTGTTTTGTTTTGTTTTGTTTTGTTTTGGAGTCAAGCTCTGTGAGTTGGGAAATGGCTCCAAATTTTTGAGCCTCACTTTTCTCACTTTGAAATGGGGCCATTAACAGTCTTTTCCTCCTCGTGGCGTAAGCATTCCAGAGGAAGATGGATGCCACGCGCCACACACTTTCTCTTCCATGCTACTTCCTTCAAAATTGTTTTTAATTTGTTTAATTTTAAAAGTGATGCATATAAGTATTCACTGTAAAAAAAAATATCAAGCTGGACAGAAGTGATAAAGTAAGAAGTAAAGTGTCTGATGCAGGTCTCTGCCACCCACTCTTTTTCACCTAACCTATTTCCCAGAAGTCTTTTTTTGTTTGGGGCTTTTTTAAAATTGAGGTGAAATTCACATAACGCAAAAGTAGCCTTTTTTTTTTTTTTTTTTTTTTTTTGTTGGGGGGCGTACGCAGGGCTCTCACTGTTGTGGCCTCTCCCGTTGCGGAGCACAGGCTCCGGATGCGCAGGCTCAGCGGCCATGGCTCACGGGCGCAGCCGCTCCGCGGCATGTGGGATCCTCCCGAACCGGGGCAGCAACCCATGTCCCCTGCATCGGCAGGCGGACTCTCAACCACTGCGTCACCAGGGAAGCCCAAAAGTAGCCATTTTTTAAGTGCACAATTTAGTACATTCACAAGGTTGTGCAAGCACCACCTCTGTCTAGTTCCAAAACATTTCATCACCCCAAGATAAAACCCCGTATCCATTAAGCAGTTACTCCCCATTCCTTCTTCCCCTGGCCCCTGGTAGCCACCGGTCTGCTTCCAGAAGTCATTTCTGCTGGGCGTGTGTGGCGTATCTGTCCATTCATCTTCCATGCAGACACCCACATCTGTAACAGCTAGCATTCACCAAGCACTCTACTGTGTTCTGGGCACTGTCACGTGTATTAGCACAGTTTATCCTCACAGCAGCCCTCTGAGGTAGGTAATACTAATATACCCATTTCACAGAGGAAGTAACTGAGATACGAAGCAGTTAAGTGACCTCCCCCAGGGGACACTAAGATCGAGTGCCTGAGCTGCCTTTTGAACCCAGGCAGTCGAGGAACTCCCGTGCTGTATCATACACACAGGTTGTATTTGACCGAGATGGAATTGCATCTTATAGCCATTTTTTGCCATTCTTACCTTCAATGTGGTATGTATCGCTACACTGTGTCCGGGGAATAGTCCAAGCTCCTAAACACAGGGGGCTCAGGTAGTTAGCAGACTAATTCGTCTTGGACTAGATAAAATCCATCAAGTCAGCAGTTGTACCTGAACTTTGGAATTACTGGAACTCATGGGGCCTCCAGCAAAGTCCCACAAAGTCCCACAGAGGCTCCTGCCATAGTGAGTGGGGACCGTAGAGGCCTAAAGACCCAGTTGAATCCCTCCGGGGCCTCCCCTGGGGCATGGCCCCAGCTGGGGAGAGGGTTGCGGCGAGGGGTGTGAGGGGAGGCAGGAAGACTGCATCCTCAAGGAAACAAGATCTGTTGTTTCATGCCTCCCCACCTAAAGGCTTTCAGTTTCGAACTGCCTGAGGCTTTAGAGCAGATTATGAAACTGCATAGAAAATAAAATCAGGGATTCACACCAGCAGGTGTTCCGGTCGGTATTCCCAGGCTGCAGCCCCAGCTGGTCATCCACTCTCCTATTAGGATCTAAGGGGATTAGCGTCCCACCCTTCTTGGGAGGATGCAGCTGAGAAACAGGCCCAAGTGCAAGGTTGTGGTGCTGAGGAATGGCCATTTTCTGGACCTTACTTGGTCATCAGGAGAGGTGTGTCCAGGCATGCGTGTAGATGGGGGTGGACCAGACAGTGAGGACCGTCCCGGGAGACAGCAAGTGGGTCTCCAAGGTGAGCTGCACTGGGTGTAAGTCATGCCCACTTTGTCCAAAGGTTCAATACTCCAAAAAGTTTATGACAAGCCCAACTCAAAACAACAATAGTGGTTCTGTGTGGAGATTGCTTATTAATGGCAGGCCCTGTACCAAGTGTTGTATGAACGTCACCTCATTTAATCCTCGCAATAATCCTGTGAGGTGGACTCTGCCATTATCCTCATTTTACTGATAATGAAACTGTGGCTAAGAAGAGTGCCCTTGGGGTTCCCAGAAGCAGAGGATCTGGGAGGTGACCCCAGGGGACACCAGTGGGGGAAATAAGACAAGGAAGGGAAGGCAGCTAATAAAAGGTATGTGTTGGGCTTCCCTGGTGGCGCAGTGGTTGAGAGTCCGCCTGCCGAGGCAGGGGACGCGGGTTCGTGCCCCGGTCCGGGAAGATCCCACATGCCGCGGAGTGGCTGGGCCCGTGGGCCATGGCCGCTGAGCCTGCACGTCTGGAGCCTGTTGCTCCGCAACGGGAGAGGCCACAACAGGGAGAGGCCGGCGGACCGCAAAAAAAAAAAAAAAGGTATGTGTTGGGCTTCCCTGGTGGCGCAGTGGGTGAGAGTCCGCCTGCCGAGGCAGGGGACGCGGGTTCGTGCCCCGGTCCGGGAAGATCCCACATGCCGCGGAGTGGCTGGGCCCGTGGGCCATGGCCGCTGAGCCTGCACGTCTGGAGCCTGTTGCTCCGCAACGGGAGAGGCCACAACAGGGAGAGGCCGGCGGACCGCAAAAAAAAAAAAAAAGGTATGTGTTGGGCTTCCCTGGTGGCGCAGTGGGTGAGAGTCCGCCTGCCGAGGCAGGGGACGCGGGTTCGTGCCCCGGTCCGGGAAGATCCCACATGCCGCGGAGTGGCTGGGCCCGTGGGCCATGGCCGCTGAGCCTGCACGTCTGGAGCCTGTTGCTCCGCAACGGGAGAGGCCACAACAGGGAGAGGCCGGCGGACCGCAAAAAAAAAAAAAAAAAAAAAAAAGGTATGTGTTGATGCAGGTTACCCCTGGGGGCAGTGGAGCTGGCTTCTGCTGGGGCACTTTGGGAGCCAGGGTAGAACACACATCTCAAGGTCATTCTGCCCAGAGGGCTGAGGGAGCTGATATTATCCACTGACTGCTGATAGCCATTGGTTCCAGGCAATGGGGGATGAGGATTCATGTTCCAGCACCACCTCTCTGCTCTCAGTATGAGAAGATCTGACTCTGGCCAGAAACAGCCGGTGAGCAAAGTGATGCCAAGCTGGCTGTTGGAAGCGGGACTGGGGTCCACTAAAAAGAGTGGGCAGTGCCCCAGCAGCCTCTACCACTGGGAGTGAAGTCACCTGCCCAGGGTCACACAGCTAGTGAGTTACAGGGCTGAGATTTGATCCCAGTCTTGGCTAAGCCAAAGCACACCCCTCACAAGGGTGAAGGTTAGTAGCCGGAAAGAAAAAGAAGTAATGTTTTGAGGTCAGTCAATACCAGATGGGTTTGGGTATAAGACACGTTTATAAAGATGGATAAAATCTGATCTTACCACTGTCCTCTCAGAGGGTCAGGTGGGGGCTTCATGCACAGATATGAATGGGAAGGCATGGGGAGGGGATGTCTCAGTGCTGGGTAAAAGGCAGGATAGCGAGTGATCTAGAGGAGGTGGGGAGCCTGTCCAGGTGGGCTGATCTGGGCAGACTTCCTGGAGGAGACAGATGCTGAGCTGGGCCATGCAGGATGGATGGGCAGGATTGGGATGGGGGAGCTGAGTGGGTGGGTGGGTGATGGAACAGCACAGGCTGAGCCCCAGAAGTGGGCATGAGCTGGGCTGGGGCACATGGGGAGGGAAGAGAGCATGACCGCAGGGATTGGAGCCAACTGGAGTCACTGGAGGGCAGCACCAAGATGCATTCATTGCCTTGCAATGCCAGCGTCTGGCTCAGGCTTGGTTGCAGAGTATGTCTGGCTTTGGGTGTTCGTTAGAACAAGTGAATGAAGGATGGCAGGGAGGATGGGGCTGGTTCTGGGGAGCTGGCAAAGCCGGGCCAGTTGCTCAGGGCCTGCCTGCAGTGAGGGACGAAGGTCACGTGGCTGTGTTTACTTTCCAGGTGAGCACACATCACACAAGGCTTTAAGCCTTCATCCCAGGTTCCGTGGCTGCAAGAGGTCCAGACACCTCTTCACCCCAAGTAGGTGGAGGTACCCAGGTCGCTATTTTATAACTCAGGGGCTGAGTATAGAAAACAGAAAGCTTCAGGCTGGGTCCTGAAGTGACACCCTTGTCCAGAGCCTTGAATCTAATCCCAGGAGTGAGACCACAGGCTACTGTTAAGACCGAAGGTGATGGGCTAAAAGAGGTCAGCCGGGCCCTTCCCGCTGTTGCCCCCTTACTCTCCCTCTGAGACCACAGGGACTGGGTCAGCCCCGAGAACAACAAAATTGGAGGAGATGCACCTTCTGTTCAATTCTCTGCCCTCACACCCCACTCCCCACCGTGAGCTTCTGTATTTTCAAGCAGAAAGCAAAGCCCTAAAGCTCACGCTCTGATAAAAGACTGGCCAACTTGCACCCAAAGTTGTTCTTTGCATGATCTTATTGATCCTCACAGCGACTTCTGTCTCATTGGTGTTATTAGTGTCCCCATTTCCAGATAAGGAGATGAAGGCACAGAGGAGTTAAGTCACTTGCCTGAAGTCACACAGCTAGTAAGAGCAGAGTCTGCATAGTATGATCTTCAGGAGATGCA